CTTTTATTTAGCTAATAATACCTTTACTGTGTGTTCTTTAGATCTTGCTTGCCACTTTCTTGTTTCTTTTTTATATGAAATGTGCAAAACCATCTCAAAAAATTGAATCCATGCATGAAGAATGGAAAGACCATATTTGAACTCTCTATTAGTATAATCTATATTAAGGATATCAAGACTATTTATATTTTTTGGAGAGACAACACACACTAAACAGCATTGGTAGGAGTTAGTTTTTTCAGATAATTTCGTTTGAACTTTCATATCAACCATTGTATGTTCAATAATACAATTCACTGAAATAAAAGAACCGCAAACCTCTAATAAAATTATACCCATGCTTTCTATCTCACTTTTAATGTACTGATTTTCTTAGATCGCAGATTCCTTTTCGTTACTGTTGTTAAATCCAGTCAAATCCAATGGAGTTAGACAAGTTATTAATAATAATTCTTTACTCTTTAAATCTCCGTTCATGTAAGGTTCTGATAAAACTTGTTTATAAATGCTTTGGCTATTAGCACCATCAAAACCAGTTATACACGTAAGTGTCATTGTTTTTATTGCTTTGCTATTCATTATCAAGTGCCTCAGCACAGGTTCCTAAACTGCACAGATTCTTTGCAAAGTATGGAGTCATTAAATCTTTTAAAGGAACTGAAGGTGAATGGTCCTCCACTGTTATATTTTCAGGATAACATTTCAATTTTGCATCTCTGACATCATTGTAAGTGGGGTAGAGGGTATATATTCTTTCTCCAAGGCTCCACTTCTAATCAATTGATAGGAAACTTTTGTCAGATTGGCATCAATTATTAAAGCCAGTGCTTCGTCTGCTGAATATATAGTTGCTTTATCTGTATTTGAAATATTTAAAAAGTTCTTGCAGTACTAACAATAGATTCATCTCTAAATTTTTTACTAGCAGCAAAAAATAATTTACTGGATGAATGCGATTCATTTAAGTAAAATACACGCCGTTTTTTAGTTTTATATGAACTATTATCAAATGCAACTGGTTTTCGACCACGTCTAATTGCAGTTTGTTTGTTGTTGTTGTTGTTTTTTTTGACAATTAAATATTCATTATACCAATTTACAAACATCTTTTCATAAATTTTAACAGTACAGTTTACAGATTTTCACTTTATTTTATACAAGTAAACAAATCGTTGAACAGCATGTCTAAAAATCAACGTCTTTAAATTCAGCAAACTTTGGCTGAGTAAATTTCAATATATCTTCAGTAATATTTTGTTTTAAAATACTAAGATTGTTTTTTTGGAGAAAATTATGAATGTCTAAGTTTAATAAAACCATATCTAAATAATTCTTATAACAAATATTTTGTATTTAAAAGTTTAATGTTATAGTATATATGCCGCGTGCACAACTAATTCGTGTTAGTAATTAAGTTACTACTAGTGTTAGTAATTACAATTAAAAGTAATTAAGTTACTGTTAGTGTTGAATATTAAATTACTGACAACAACCGAAAATATGTTGTTTATATGCTATGCAAAGTAAGGCAGCCATAGCAACCAAAAAAAAAAAACCTCATAAGAATTGTGAATCTCATTTTAATACATACTCCCAATATTGAGTACTTAGCGCAGATAAAATATTATATTCGTTTATAAAAACTCAGCAATTCTTCTCATTTCAAACAACTTTTTTAACTGCAAGAAGTTGATACATCTAAACATGTAAAGGTGAGTTTCCACTCATCCGTTTTTTCACGGAACGGGATAGGAAAGGGAAAAATAATCACGTGAGCATGCGTAGTTTTCCTTCAGACATATTAAAACTTATACTACGCATGCCCACGTGATTATTTTTCCCGTCCCTTTCCCGTTCCCGTGAAAAAAACGGATGAGTGGAAACTCACCTTAAAACTTTGAAAAACGATGTCAACGTTTTATGAAACTTCAAACCATAATAACTTTTAAACCGCTTTGAATTATGGTCTCAAATTTTCAGATTTTTCTCATAAAATAATTTGAAGAAATGAAATTTTTAAAAAAATTCAATAACTCAAATATTTTAATTTGCCTCATTCTTATAAAAAAACGACTCTTAAATTTTTAAGTATCACTCCACTTCTTATTGCTGTTACAATTCTGTAACCTTAAGCCTGATCAGCCAAAGAATATTTTGCCTAATCATCCTTAAGTATTTTGTCTGGCAAAGCATCCTCAATATTACCTTGCCCTACGTATAGTAACAATTCAAACACTTTTTAAATTATATTTAGACTCTTTCACTTTCTTAGAACAAGAAAGTTCTGTGCTGAACTCTCCATGAAAAAGTTCTCCATTAAAAAGTTATTGTTTGACATTTTACTTATAGTGCTTTTATTTTTCTCTTATAAGCTTTTTTATTGGAGTTTTTTGTGCTTATTTTTGGGAGATATTTGATGCAATCCTTTAGTACTCACAATATTTCTTTCAGTTTTATAAATATAAAATATAAAAATATAAAAAATGTTTATGATAGAAATTTTATTATGTTGGAAGTTCAGTAAATAACAATTCCATTGCAGTTCATATGCATTTAGTTTTGCAAGTTTTTTCGGTACTTTAATGCGAACTGCGAACCGCGAACTGGTAAAATGCGAACTTTTTTGCGAACCATCGTCCTATTGGTTGTTAATGATGTTTTATTTCCGTTAAATAGTTCATTTAGCAGTATATTTTAAGGACTTTTAAGCGAAAAAATTAATTAAAAAAATAAATAAAAGGAAACTGTGTGAAACTAGACAAATAGAATATAATTTTTTTTTTGATTTCAATTTTTTGATAGACTGCCTGCCCAAACCAAATCCTTAGTTGATTTAGCAGCACTCCGTTGCGAGTCAGGCTATAAGATAGTCGATGTAGCAACGCTCCGCACATGTTTTACAGTTAAAAAATAATTTTTTTTTTTTAAATAAAGCTTTAAAAGGAATTTTTATTATTATTTTTTTTAAAATAAAATGCTTTGGTCTTAAAAATAAAATGCTTTGGTTCGCAAAAAAGTTTGCATTTTACCGGTTCGCAGTTCTCGGTTCGCAGATCGCATTTTACCGACAGCCAGTTTTTTCATATAATTATATGTTTTATAATTACTTAAAAAAAAAGTTGTCTTTCACCGTTACATTTTACCGATAACTTTTTGTTAAGAGCAAATGTTAAAATTTGACTTCAAAGTTGCGTTTTTTATGATTTATTGTCAAACTTTTGACTGTTTAATTAAAGTTATATGGTTTTCAGAATAAATTTTGTTTTCAGATTGGATTTTCAGAGAGGATTGCTTTTCTAAAACTATCGAATAAATTAGTAGTTTCATATTAAAAACGAGTGTTAAAAATTAGAAATTTCATTTCTAGGCCTTAGGCAATTGAATGTTAAAAATCGTTTAAAAGTATTGACTTTTTTTCTTTGCGAATGAAATATTTGACATACGGTAAATATTTTGATGTACTGTTTACATGTCATACCCACAGCTACATACAATTATAAGTTTGTAAGATTTTAAACTTATCTTAATTGATAATTGAAGACATAAGTGGATGAAAGTGTTATGTTACACCAATATGGAACTGAGATATCAGGAGTTAAAGTTTTGAACACATATTGTTATAGATAATTTTCTATAGCAAAGATATGTTAATATTTATGGAGGGGTATAGTAATCAAACACTTAATAACTTGTATGTAATATTTAAATTACTTAACACCTTTATTTGTGTAAAAACGTGGAATTTTGTATTTTTGCGACATAACGCCTTCATCCACTTATGTCTTCAATTAATAGTGTAATGTCGATGTTATTAATATGATGTATATTATATTGACCTTCATCAACTACAGTCATTTGTCTATAATTTTAGAAAGCGTCATTTACAATAACCAATAAGAATGCTTTTTTTTTTTAATTATGCTTTAATTTGAAAGATCTAAATGAAAGGGTCAGAAAATTAGACGTGAACAATGAAAACAACAAACTTTCCACGAGTAAATTTTCTCGAAATATTGAATGGCTGCAACAAATAAAACTAAAATTAAATAAAATTAATCAACAACGATATGAAAGTAAAATTTCCTTTATTTTAACTTTTTTTTTTTGATTATTAAATTACTAATTTATTAGATAGTTTTAGAAAAACAACCTTTTCTGACAAAATTATAGTTTTAATTAAACAGTCAAAAGTTTGGTAATAATTCATATAAAACGCAACTTTGATGTCAAATTTCAAAATTTGTTCTTAATTAATATTCAAATTGCTTGTTAACTTAAAACAAACGTGAAAATTTTTTTCATTCCTTACGTCGGCAAGAGGATAATATCTCCCCTCCCATTAAGCGGCCACAGCTAGCTGGGAGGCAAAAGCTACTGGAGGCCGCCTCAAAATGTCTCCAAAACTTCTTCTGAAGGCGGCTACCAATGGCTTCCGTCTCCCAATCTAATTACATTTTAATGGAATTCAAATATTGAATTCCATTAAAATGTAATTAAAGAAACAATTGTCTTAATTCTATTCACATCAAGTCAAATTTTAGTCATATTTTCTCTATAATGTCTAACAAGACATTTTCAAATCTATTTTTTCTTATTTTGTGTTTCTTTTTTTTTTTTTTTGCACTGCCAGACTGAAAATACAAAGTTTCTCTGTCTAAAATAAAGAAAAAAATTGTTTAATTTTCCTAAATACAACTTACACAAAAATTTACATTATTTGTTTATTTTTTGACCTAATCAAATATCAAATTTTCTTTAAATTTATTATAATAAATATTGAGTTTATTAAAAATTTTACAAAAAAACTTTTTTTTATTACACTTTTTCCCCTTTAATAAGTCACAATTTAACCGTTTTACCGTTCAAAACAACGCTGACCCACCCAGCAAGATATTATTTAAATAAACCTTTCTATTTGCAGAATCGGATTTAGCAAAACTCTTTACCAAAATTAACACCGCCATTTTTAAAATTAAAATAATTTATACAGACAAAAGACATTTAAAAATTAAAATAATTTATACAAACAAAAATTTTTTTATTGCTGTAAAAGCATTATAGACAATTTAGCTTTTGTATTTTCAGGATTAAAATATATTATTTACAATGAAGTGTGTTATAAAGCGTAGCATAGTTCTTATAGCGTAAAGAAAATTTTTTGTCTATTTAATCCATCAGCCAAACATCAGCAGCACCAGCATGACCCAAATGGTCTTTTGTTTTAAAAATTACGTTAATATATTATTTACAATGAAGTGTGTTATAAAGCGTAGCATAGTTCTTATAGCGTAAAGAAAATTTTTTGTCTATTTAATCCATCAGTCCAACATCAGCAGCACCAGCATGACCCAAATAGTCTTTTGTTTTAAAAATTACGTTTCAAATGTTTTTTCCAATCAGACTTTGTTGTAAAATGATTAAAGTCTATAAATTAATTCGGACCATTGTACGATACAAAGTTCTTTTTTCTCCTTTATCAATGATCGGCATAGCCCTGTGGAAAACTGCCATATTATCCCAAATCAAGATATCACCCTGACTCCATTTGTGAAAGTAAAAAAAAAGCTCTTGTTGCATAAATTTCCACATCTCATCAAAAGCTCTTAATTCTTCTTGGGTGTAAAACAACTCCTGCTCTTCGGTAACTTTAAACAAGAACACACATTCTCGTTTATTAAGAGGATGTTTAAATATAAATTGATGTTCTACTGTTGGATAGCGTTCTAAATGCTCCTTTAAACCATTACGAAAATCAGTAATGAAATTGACTTTAACAATAATCTTAGTATCTTTAAGAACATTCAAAATATGCTGAGGCGCATAATCTCTTGCGAGACAAGCATCTATAAAGCCAGTACCTCCTCCCTCTAAAAAAGATGATATTTCGTCACCATAAAGAATTGAAAATATGAAATTTTTTGGGTAGGGATAGTAGTTTCCATCTTTGTGCCAATATTGTCCAAAACTGTGCTGTGGCCCTTTCCACGAACCATTTTGCCAGTAATTAGAAACAGCCGAAATAGCGGGATGTCCCAGGTAGCTATTATTTCCTAAGAAAAAATAAATATAAGATAAATTAAGGAAGCTGTAGTTGTCAAAGCTTAAAGGGTATAATGCAATAAAATATATTATATATTATAAAAGGGTAGAGTGAATTAAAATAAAGTTTGCTCTTTGTTATTCACTGATGTAAACCGTCGGACCAAAGTGTTTCCTGTTAATAAATCGCTAATTTTTGTTTAGAAATGATTGTAAAAATTTTAGTTAAAAAGTTTGGTTATTTAAAACTTTTTAAATTAAAAAAAAATCTAAGAGTTTTATTTTCATAAAGGACTAGATATTGTTTCTGAAAATCTGAGGCTAAATATATATTCTTAAAAATTACTGAATTTACAAATAAAAACGTTATTTGATAACGCTATGAGTATGTTATTTAAGTTTACTATTATACATAAATGATACAAAAAGTTACGATATAGTTTTAAAAAAATTTTAGTTGATTTTAGTGAAAATATAATTTACGTTTACGTATGTTTAAAGTTACAAAAACAAGCAGAGGTTTCAAGCAATCTAAATCCGTAAATCTGTAGAGTGTTTTAACCTCCAATTGTCTTTATAACTTTTCTCCTAAAATAGAAAATCTATATAAAGAGTAAAAGGCGGGTAATGAATATTTACTTTAAAAAAAGTAAAATAGCAAAAAGTTTCAGTAAAAAGTATTTAGTATACAGTAACCAAAACAATTTATATTTAAAATATAAAAAAACTGAACATTGCTTTATTTTGTGTTTTATGTCCTGAAAAATTAAAAATTAGGTATTTGATCTAGAGTTGCTAACCAAAAGGTTTGTAAATTTCATTCCGAAATATAGCATTTTGCAAGTCGAATTTCAAAATAAAACCTCTTTGCTACTTACAAAATAAGTGCTTTTGGATGGAGCATTTCGCGACGTTAGAATTATCTTGTTCTATCTCCGGCGTATAAATTTTTTTTATAACATGTTTTTTCCGCAACTTTTTTATTTATAACTTAGATTTCAATTCAGTAGAAAGACATTATTTTGAGGAACACAACACTATCATAAACTTAATTTTTTCAGAAAGTGAAGAAGAACAAGATAACTATAACGTCGAACAAGATAACTATAACGTCGCGATTTGTGAAACGAGCGCTTTCGCTAAACGTTGCGACGTTTTGAAACATGTGGAATAGTCGCTTTCGGAAAAAACATTTATGAAACATGTCATTAAAGATGTATTAAACTATGTTTTATAAACTAAAAATCTTTAATAACTGTGTAACTAAGCGCCACGTATTTATTGATATTCAAAAGTGTCAAATGCGCATCTAAGTTTTTATAAATAAAAAAACTTTATTATAAATTTATATCTCTAAAATGTCATTTAACGAACAAGAATCAAATAATGTAAATAACATGAATAACACTTAAGAAAATTAAAAGTATTTAAATCATATTTATTTATTTAAATTTTTTATCACCCAAACTATAGATAAAACAAACAAAGTGTATAAAACTAATAGTTTATACTTTTATTCTAAAGTCTAATTTATATTCTTCTTGGAATAATTTCCTCCACAAAATTCGTAATATTAATTTATTATTAATTTCCTCCATGAATTCGTAAATATTAGTCTTTGCTCTCTGATATTTCAGAATTCAAAGTAATGGTTCGAAATTGCATGTATATTGTATCCTACGTCATCGTATCGGTGCTTTATCGTTATTTTTTTTCCTTTTAAATCAAACACTGGGTGAAGTTTACCTCAAGTTGATTGCACATTTTGATTACTTTGTTAATAAATAGGTTATCTTAAATAACATCAGATATCTGAGTCAAAATCAGGGAAAAACAAGTCGGTTTCTTCAGTAGTCTGATAAACAGATTTAATTTATTTCGAATGAGGATGGTAGATATGTCATCAATTTTAAAGAAGGGATGCAGGTAATTTTTGCTATACTTTGATATATTAAAGAGGAATTTTAATGTTGACTTTCCAACAGCGTCCAATTTATTAAGAAATGAATTAATGTTACAACAAATTTAAACCGTATGATAGATTCGTTACAGCCAGAGATTTGAATAAATGTATAATATATTTAATGGTTGACAAAAGCGAGTACCAGATTTTATAAGAGCTCTAGAGAATAATTGAAACTGAATAATACGTTCGATTACAATTGCTGTTTGAAATGTTGCTATATTTTGTGAATGATTTTGATTATCCCAAAGGAATCCGAGGAGTTTCAGTTTATTATTAAGGTGTAGGGAAGAGCCGTTTATTTGAACTGTATTTTTTGTAGTTGAACTTTTACCGGATATAGTAAACTCGGTTTTTTCGGTGTTTAGTTTAATATATAGGTTTTGGCATTGTGACTCAACTTTATTAACCAATTCTTGTAGACCAGAAAGAGTAGGACTTTGTAAGATTATATCGTCTGCATTGGCAATGATATTTTTAATCACTCAACATAGCAGAAGAAAATAGTAAATGGAAAACAAAATAGTTTAACGATTCAACAAGCAACATTACTTTTGGAATTTTAAATTTCTCCATAAAATATCATGTATTTATAAAATTTAAAAATATGTTTTAATATTTGTTATATCTGATGCAGGGGCGATTTTAGGAATAAAATGAGGAGGCTAATCCTTAAAAAGGATTATAACATTCTCCATATATATTCGCCCCTGATTTAATAATCGCTAATTTGCGGGAAACTTTGAGCTTAAAATAAATCAAGTGTATATATATATATATATATATACATATATATACATATATATATATATATATATATATATATATATATATATATATATATATATATATATATATATATATATATATATATATATATATATATATTATGTATACATTTTATGGCATAGTAGTCAGCTACTTATTTTTTTATGTTATGGACGTAACGTAAAACCAATTCTGTAGCTATTCAATAGCTACATATTGCAGCTTTGTCGCTAGTGATAATATTACTTTACATCGATAGCTGCCAAATAAAAAATTTAACAAACTGCAACATAAGCCTATGTCTACATTTGTGTTGTTCTATGTCTAAAACTTCAGTTGTGTCTAAAATACTAGCATCTAAATCATTATTCCAAACAAAACTGTTATTAGAGTTGGAATGTAGAGATCAAAGATAAAGAACTTTAGTTTTTAAAGCCACTTGATGATATTATATGAGCTAGGGTGTCGATGTTTTTAGTAATTCACGATGTAGTGGATGGGATAGACAGTAATGGACTTACGTATTTATATATTTCTGACGTATTTTTTTACCTTTTTATGCACCTGAAATTAACTTTAACATCTGAACCTTTCCTATACATAATTCAAACAAGTTTTTGATTGGTGAGAAAATTGTGCTCTCTCTCTCTCTCTCTCTCTCTCTCTCTCTCTCTCTCTCTCTCTCTCTCTCTCTCTCTGGTAGAAATTTTAGAAAAAATCATGTCACTCTCTTGCTGAGACCCGTAAAAAAGTGTTTTTTGAATAATTTTAAGTGTCATTAATTTCAACTTTAAATTGTTTGTTAGTTTTATTTTGTTAAGCTTTTTTTTTTAATAAAAAAAAAACCTAGCTATGATTAATAATAATTGCTGGAATTTGTAGTAAATATTAATATTGAAAAAGACGTAATTAATCTATCGTAATAAACTTTTTTTCTTTTTTTTTTTTAAATATTTTGCCGTTTAATATTACAATAACTAAATATATTTTACAATTTTTACATTAGTAACGACAGGACTTCTACAAGATTATGAGGATCTTATCATGAAGCCCTTTACAATATATAGTTAATTTTTAATAAAAATACAATGTCTGTAGTGAATTAATAATAATACATATTTATGCAAAAATATTTAAAAACCAATAAAAAATGTTAAAAAGCCAAGATAAAATGTTAAACCAAATAATTTACAAAATAAAACAACAATAACAACAAAAAAAGCAATTTATATGGCAATGTATAAATGAATAATATAATTGTGTTAACTGGTGTTTACTTTTTTTATTTTTTTTTATTTTAATTCACCTCCTCAAGGCCGAGAAGGCCACTACAGACGAGGAGGCTACTTATTTGTGGCTATAACCCTCTCTCAACTCTATAACTCCGAAACACGAACCTTGACGAGCAAGGCCGCTGCGCGGAGAGACGAGTTGAGCGCGGTACTACCAGGGACGTGGTGGGGATCGAACTCGGAACCACTCGATTATGAAGCGAGCGCTCTACCACTACACCACTACCACATACTTAATATACTTCTTGCTTTAAAGAGAATTCCGATTCATTTAGCAATTTTATTATATTGGAGGTATTATCAATATGATTAGTTTTTTCTATATTCAGAGACAATCTAGTTTGTTTAAAACCAAACAGAAACTTTTTTTATTTCATTTGTCATATTAGTAAAAAGCATATTAATATCTTTATGAGACAAAAACAAATTTGTGTCATCGGCAAAATTATTGTTGTTAAATTTGATGATTTTTGTAGATTATTTATGTATATAAAAAAAATAATATATTAAATATGTGGTGTTTTAAATGCAAGATATAAATACATTTTCGTTTTCGCATACTTTTAATCCTTTTTGTTGGTGTTTTTATATGAAAAACCATCTTGCCTATTTCGCAATTATGCCCAGTTTTACCTTATTATTTTACAGTTTGAATTTAAAAAATACTTTTTGTCTGTTATATACTTAGCAACTTTAAGATCCAGTAACCCATAATATTCTGTAAGAACCAGGTAAGGCTCAAAAATGACTCTCTTCAAAGTTGCAATTTTTTCAATATGTTGTTACTACTTATATTAAAAGTTCAATTCCTATAATTTTACCAAATGCTTTTTCAACCTTGAATTTAAAACAAAACTCCCATAGGTGTTTTATTTCATTAGTTTATGTTAGCTGGTTAAAACTTAAAAAATGATAAAGCATAATATACTATATCTTATATGGTAAATATATTATATCATTATAAATTAGATATATTATATTTGGTTTG